TCTCTCTGTCTCCCTACCTACTTACTGTATTTCTTTATCTATCATCTATCTATCTATCTATCTATCTATCTATCTATCTATCTATCTATCTATTCCTTTATCTACCTACCTACCTAACTACTCTCTCTCTCTCTCCCTCCCTCCCTACTGTATTTCTCTCTCTTTCTTATCTATCTATCTATCTATTCCTTTATCTACCTACCTACCTAACTACTCTCTCTCTCTCTCCCTCCCTCCCTACTGTATTTCTCTCTCTTTCTCTCCCTCTCTATTCCTCTATCTACCTACCTACTTTTTAAAAAAATTTGCCTCTTCAAAACCTTGGTGCGTCTTATACTCCGGTGCGTCTTATACTCCGAAAAATACGGTACTTGTAATACAAAGTAAACTACTTTAAACTCAGCCCTATATGTGTGGTTGGTCTGGAAGTCAAGTTTTCAAGAATTCCCTAGCATTATTGGATTTAGCTTGGGCCAGGATTCTCAACATTTCCCAGTTGAAAGTATGGTTGAGTCTGTCCATGTATTGTGATATAAAGGAATTTTCATTGTGTTTTCTGATTATTAGTTGGTGTTCATGGATGTGCTCTGATAATTTAATCCTAACTCCCTCCAGCAACCAACATCCAGATAAGCATGGGTTAACACCACACAAATAATCAAGCAAAAACAATAATTTAATCAAAAAACAACCAAGGAGAAAACTACACTCCCACTAACACTGGCAGGGCAACCTATTATATATAGGGAGTAGACCCATACTCACTAGCACTAGTTGGGTAACAAAACATCTGCAAGCAAACAACCAAGCTCAGAGAGAACCAAGAACGACTCAGTTCAATCCTCAGCTACATATATTCTTTTTTATTGTATTTATTTTAACAATGATGCCGCAGTTGTGGGGTTTACTGTATTTTGTTGATTGGCCAAAATATTTTAAAAATAAATGCAACAGAGCCTAGAAGAAGTTTGACATTTTGGAGAAGTCTTACAACAATGAAGCGGGAATCTGAGCAAAAGATTGTTTAAAAATTTATAATATTCACTGTGCAGTGTTTTGCAATTATCATAGTGAGTGCTGACAATGAAAGCAAGTCAGCAAGCTATTTCAATGGTTCCAGGGTTTCATCAATGGTATGATGTCAAAAAAGATAATGGTGGACACTTCAATCAAGGCTAGTGGCACTCTACACTAAAACTAACCATCCAAGAGCTGGTTTCTGGGTAATTATAATGTTACATAAATCTCTTGCAATCTTAAAATTCTAAGCTACGGCAATAGCAGTAACTAATGGATTATTTATCAAATGTCACTAACTCAAAGCTTTTGCATTTCTTGCCCATGCCAGATTAAATAAAATCTACCTGATTTGCTTCACTGTTCATTTACATTTAATTGGGCAGGAAAATAATTCTCTCATGTCCTCTAGAGTTTTCAACATGTTTTTTTTTTTCTCGTGGCAGCTTTAAAATGATGGGCAATTGATTACACAGGGAATTTCCCCATCTAATGGGAGGGAGATAACTTGACTATCTCCCAAACTTGAACAATAAGGGAGTCAAGGGAGATAACTTGACTATCTCCCAAACTTGAACAATATTCAGAGTTTGACCTTCCTGTATTTAAAAGGAACCTTAAAATTATTCTTTTAGGGTAATATGATGTTGGAAAAATATATTCTTTTCAGCTGTAGTACCCAATTCCAATTTAAATTAAGATAGTGCCCAAGTTAAAAGACATTTGAAAATTTTTATACATGCAGGTGTTATGTGTATTTTACACTGTGTTGTGATTGTTTTAATGTCTAATGTAGCCCATGAAAATATATGTGCATGTGAAAAAATACAACTATTATTGCATCTCATTCTGACGTTTTGTATAAAAGCCCATGACTTACATATTTTTTAAAAATATAGAGTTGAAATTTAAATAAATATAAATCCAATACATATACAGAATCTGCTAGCTCTACTGAACCACTAATCCTACTTTGTTTAGAGCTCTATAAAACTGCTTCCCTTCCATCTGGCAATTTAAAAATTTGTCTGTGAGCTTGTTCCCCCTGCCCTACCGCATCCCCTTCTCCTCTCTTCTTTTCTTTTGCGCCCTTTCTTTTCAAAGTGTAAAACTGTGGGCTGGGATTTTCTTGCTTTACTCATCTTACATAAACTGGTTTGGGAAAATGTTTAATTGGACGTGATACTAATGGGTTTACAAAATTAAATCTGCATAGTATTTAGCCTCATTATTCCTGATCCCAATATATTTTGGCATGAAAGACTTACTCAGATTGTTTGTTGATGAAATAATACAATTGTCCTATATACATTTTTAATTTCTTTTAAAATTAGATTAATTTGAACATCCAATAGATTTTTGCAAAGACATGAGGAAAACTTTTATCATTTAACACCCAGATTTTCAATGTATTTCCAATACTTACTTCTCTCAGGAGGAGGATGAAGGATGCAAAATAGAAGACATATACCATTCCGACTAGCCAATGTAGGAACATTGTAGTGCCAGGGGCAGACTGAAAGCTTAATTCTCTATCCTTCAAAGTAGCATCAAACATTTCCTATGTAAAAGATAGCAATGATATTTTTCGGCCTTTCAATCTGGGAGTGACTCATAGCTTTACAATGACAAAAAACACAAACCTTTCATATGTTCTCATAATAAGAAAACACCTGTAGAAACTCCATTATGACACTGGATGGCCTATCAATTATATTTCATAGAAAAGTGCAGCACTTCATTGCATTTGAAAAATAAATCTATAGTAAACAATTTTCGCTAAGAGCTAGACAAAATCTAAAATCTAAGCTACATGGCTTAGGACCAGCGTATCTGCGAGACCGCCTACTGCCACACACCTCCCAATGGCCGATAAGATCCCACAGATTGGGCCTCCTTCAGATGCCGTCAGCCGGACAGTGTCAGCTGGCGGGTCCCCAGAGGAGAGCCTTCTTTGTGGCTGCTCCGACCCTGTGGAATCAGCTACCCCCAGAGGGCTGGACCTTACCCACTCTCATGGCCTTCAGGAAAGCTGTTAAAACCTGGCTGTTCCGGCAGGCCTGGGGCTGTTGACCTTATTGTTAAGGTCCAGCCCCGATTAGATCGAATATGTGTTGGGAATTTTAAACTATTCTTTTTATTTTTCTTTTCTTTTTTCTTCCTCTTTGTAAGCCGCCCGGAGTCCTTCGGGATTGGGCGGCCTATAAATTCAATAAATTAATAAATAAATAAATAAATATTAAATTCCAATTGAAAAATATAACCTCTTCAATTTTCCAATTCCAATTTACAAATACAGATAGTCCTCGAATTATGACCACAATCGAGCCCAAAATTTATGTTATTGAGACATTTGTTAAGGGAGTTTTGCCCCATTTTATGACTTTTCTTGCCACAGTTAAGTGAATCACTGAAGTTGTTAAGCTAATAACAAGGTTGTTAAGTGAATCTCGCTTCCTCATTGACTTTGCTTGTTAGAAGGTCACAAAAAATGATCGCATAACACTTGGATACTCCAACTGTCTCAAATATGAACCAGTTGCCAAGCATTTGAATTTTCATCATGCAACCATGGGAATGCTGCAACGGTTTTAAGCATAAAAAATAGCCACAAGTAACTTTTTCAGTGCTGTTGCAACTTTGAACGGTCATTAAACAAACAGTTGTAAGTTGAGGTCTACCTGTATAATTTCTCTCAAGCAAAATTATCACTGCAAAATAAAGCAATGGTTTCCCCAAAAATGCTAATCTTACCAGCGAACAAATGTCCAGCCACCAGCCACAGATAAGAGGAAAAACACCGATTTCTACCACCACTAATAAGGACACCTGCAATATAAAAAAGTCAGATAGTTTGTATATTCACGAGTACTGAATATTGACTAAATTCATATTTATTTTTATAACTTTCTGCCTACAGATTCGATCTTATTAAATATCTGATTTTTAAGACTTGTCTTACCTTGACAACTATGTAGCACACACCAAGCAGGCGACGTGATCTCTGAAATTTTACAAGCGCTGCCACACCCTATATAATATGGTCAAAGAAATAGATATATTTCATAGTGTCATATTATTTTATGGACACGAGTATTAATTCACAGGAAATCATTTCAGTCAATAGGACATTCTGAACCCCACACAAATAGAGTAGTTAATCCACTGTGCTTCCAATACTCCACTACAGAGGAAGCTTGATACTAATAATCTAAGAATGGAATTTCTACCAGGGGCAGGTTCTGGCAGCCGCTACTGCTAGTTTGCTCAGGGGCGCGGCACGCATGCGTGCTTGATGTGCACTGTGCGCTCATGCGCAGCACCACTAAAATTTCTCTGCGCATGCGCAGAAGCAAAAAACATGATGGCAGCGCTTCTGACGACGCTGAGAGAACTGGTTCATGGGTGTGGCAGGCCTGGGTCGCTGCCAGTTCCAGTGACCCAGTTACTACCGGTTCAGCCAAACCAGTCCAAACTGGTAGGAACCCACCTCTATTTTCTACCCCAAAATAGATAAAGTAAAATCTGCTACAGTGGTGGGATTTAGCCAGTTCGCACCTATTCGGGAGAACCGGTTGTTAACTTTCTGAGCAGCTCTGAGAACTGGTTGTTGGAAGAAATCTCATTTTGTTTTTTTCCATTTTTACGGGGCTAATCCTGTAAGGAAGGCAGGAAGGAAACATTCTGGTGTTGTTTCTAGTCTAATCTTTATTGCCCTGCTTACAGAAACTGCCTCTCCAGTTAACCCTTATTGTAACAGCTAAGGTGAAGTGCCCATTGATGTGAGTGACTTTGAGTTGGCTACTCCCATACGGTCACATGACCACTGGTCCACGCCTACCCAGCTGGTCATTAGGGCAGAGAACCAGTTGTTAAATTATTTGAATCCCACCACTGATCTGCTGGTAGAGTGACCAACCAATGTTCAAATGTTGAGATTTATACAAGTATTTAAAAGGATACATGACTGACAATTAATGAAACTGCCAGCAGCACATAGCCAACGATGGTTGTGATTAGGCCTTCGAAGTGAGAAGCTTGAACCTAAAAACCATAAACACACAACATGTATACATCAAATAGACCACTTGTGGAAGACCTATAAAACATTGCACATACTATACATTATAAATCAACCCTCAGATTTTCTATTACATGTGTATTTCATTCCTAAATAATGTTAATTTTAACACAAAATTTAACACTAGTGATGCTGATATTTATTATTAGCTGACTTTACACTACACAACTGCTTAACTACGACAGGTTAGTCAAAACAATTATAAACATACTAGATTTATATCCTGCCCTTTTTGTAGACAAACTCAAGTAGGCACACAGTGTTCCCGTCCTATTTTCCTTCCAGAACAAACCTGTGAGAGGATTGGGCTGAAAGAGAGTGAGCGTCCCAAAATCATTCACTGAACAACTACAGCAGAGGGTGAACTGGATTGAAAATCCTAATCAATATTCACTTGATGCTCCACCCAATAATCATAATCATCCCCCCACCCAAAGCAGCTCAGTGAAAGATTTTTATCAGGTAGAAATGTCTTTCCTCTGGCCATACCATAGTTTGTGCCTACCACTTAACATTTCCGTTCCCCAAATTCCTGGAATGTGCAGGTAATATGCGTTTAAGAGGATTATTTGCTTTTCAAAAAGAAATAACTACTTTTCTTTTGTGCTTCCGCTGAACATGGGGACAGAAAATTCTGTCTAAAAATACATATTATGGGGAAAACTGGGTGCCCTCTCACCTATATCACAATTTTTGCAGAAAGGAAAGTTAAAGGAATCAGAGATACATTCCTTCCCTATGTTTTTGGTGAAAGTTGTGCTTGGATTTCTTTTAAAAACCCAACACATCGGATAAAAATCACCCCGCCTTTACTCCAGGAAACCTGGGAAACCAGTAGGAAAGAAGGATGATTCATTTCATAAGTAAAACTTCTGTGGGATTACAGGATCACTTACATATTCTTCAAAGCCAAGACCAACTATAGAGAAGTGTCCGATGTGATAGGGGCAAAATGCTAGGAGAGAAAGAAATTGGTGACAGGTGGCTCTTTTTGATAAATATACATCTTAAAATTAACTATTAGATATAATAAATGTAAATAACTGGATTTATAAATTTGCTATATAAACATGGCCCATGGTATGCCAAATAACAATTTAGTGCAAATGAAATGAAACAATTTAGTGCAGAAACCTTTTCAGCCTGTTGTCTTGTTTTATTATCTGGATTAAACAATTCTGGTCATGATTAGCTGTAATTGGTTAAAAACAAGTCAACTTCAGAATTAAGCTGACCATAATTACAATTAACTATAGTTCTGAATTCAGAAACTTGATGAATTAAAAGCAGAAATGAAAGCAGAAATATCAGCCTCTTCTAGACAACGAGAGCCATGAGTCCAAGCCTCTATGTGGACCAATTATTTTTGGGTGAAAATATAATTATTCAATAAACCAACATTTGATTAATACTGTCTGGATTTTATAGATTTTGTTTAAAAAATTGCCTCAAAAGGATTAGTTTTCATAGCAAAACTATTTTTCTATGGTTTCAGTTTGCATGGATTATAATTGGCATGTATTAGAGTAAAAATCAGATGCAACAAATAATGGTATGAGCACATTCATGGGTAAAAAAAACCATTTGATGCTATATGTAAAATTATAATTATGCAGTCACTAAATTGCATATGGAGTCAATTTTCTTTGAGAAAGATAAAAATGCTATTTCTTTTCCTAACAAAAACACATAATTAGTAGTTAAAATCCATGCAGCTCTAGTATAATTTTTACCATATGAGAAAATATTCTGAAATAATTGAAAATGCTGTAACTTACCAAAGACAAGTATGAATAGTGTGTTTAATGATACCACCCAAAACACATGTTCCTGAAGAGGTAGGGAAAAATGAAAAGTAACCATACAAAATTAACTGATAAGCAATATTATCGTTTATTGTGTTCTTCTCATTCTGCTACTAATTTCTTTTCTAATTTTTCTACAATGCAATGCAGGGTTTTCTGCAATAATTTTTTTTTATCTGTAGGCTGCACATTCACATCATCATGAGAAAGGTTAATGCATTGTATGTGTCCAATTTGTATGGCTGCCCATCTCAAACAAGTGACTCTGAATGGCAAACTATCATAACATCAATTAAAAGTTATAATCACTATACAAAAAGTAAAAGTAAAAACGGATAGCAGTTGAGTATTATTATAATTCATATATGTTAGCATAGCTAGGAAATGGACCCTTTCAGACACTTGGGACCCCAAACCTGGGCATATAAGCAGGTCTCCAAGGCCTTCCGAAAGGCTGACAGAGATGGGGCTCCCCTAATAGCTGGAGGGAGAATATTCCAGAGGGCAGGCAATAGGCAAAGAAAAAATGCCAAGGAAGACAAACCTTCCTTGGCTGTCATGAGTCAGAGTTTGCCCATCCTGCTGGACCAGATTGGACTGGTAGAAACAACTGGGAGAGAAGATGGTCTCTCGGATAACTTGGTCCCAAGCCAGGAAGGGCTTTAAAGGTGAAGCGCACCCAGAAACACACTAGAGACCTGTTGTGGCCCAGCAGGAGCCGTTGGAGCTGCAAACAGACTCCGCCAGCGAGGGGCCTTATGGGTCGGCTCTGGAAGAGGTGGAGGATCTGGACAGGGTTCCGACTCCGAGCAGGGTGCAAGAGGCTGGTTGGCCACCAAGAGGCGCCTGAGGCATGGAGCAGCGGTGAGAGTGTGCTCCTGACGTCATGCCTTGGAGTAGTGATGAGGAGACAAGGGAGGTGGTTTTGGATGCCCAGCAACGCCAGGCAGATCGACGTAGAGAGCAGCTACGCAGTTACAAAAGATAATTGGACCCAGGTGATTGTAATTAGGCTCTTCTCAAGATTGTATTTAAAGAGAGACTGGGAGGAGCCTGGTTTTGCAGGATTCAATATCATTCCTAACGCTGGAGAAGCTATTATCTATCGGTCTGAGTTGCTGCCAAGGTTCTTATCTGTTTGTTATGCTTGGCTTTCAGCCACTGAGGTTTTGGTTTCTTGCTAATAAAGTGCTGTGACATTCCAGTTAAGCGTGTCTCGGCATTCGTTACTGGACGGAGGAGGGGGTCAGAACAGAAACCAATGCTGTTCATGAAGTAATGGGTATTATATATGTCAAGTAATTACTATCTGTGCAGTAAATATGTCACACACACTATTAGGTTTTTTTAAAAACTTGGCATTTCTAAAAAGTATGTGGTATATTTAGCTGACGCTATATTCAAAAATTTAACATATTTGGATTTTACTTGCTAGATCTGAATGACAGTACTAACAATAACCATTACAATTCACTTACCAAAAAAACTAGGGATCCATCAAGTCCAAGCATCTATAAACAAGAAATAATTTTGAACATTAACTAAACAAGAAATAATTTTGAACATTAACTAACGTAGCCTATAGCATTCAAGAGGCTGCTAAGTTTTAAAGAACAATCTGTCCTCAACTTATTGGAAATGTGCAAAAGTTAAGTTGGGTTAAAAGTGACATACCAGGTGGGTTGATACACTGTGCTCAACCATTAATTATGGTTTATAAGTCAAAATGGCTGAGTTCACATATTATGCTAATGGATCGAACACTGTGAATTAGTACAATTTGTACAGCCAATATATGCTGTTTTGATGAATCCAATATTTTTACAAAGAATCAGAAATGCATATCTTCTATTGCTATTTTCAACTGGAAAAGCAACTTCAAGAATTAGAGAAATAGCAAAAGGGAAAAGGATACTTTATAAAGTTATACTTTAAATTTTTCATACTCTAAATTGTTTCAAGACTTTTTACAAAGCATATTTTCTTTTAAATACGCCCTTTTTACCAACAATATTCTCTGTCTTCTCCAAACTGCTGTTTTTTCTCTCTACTAAAGGGGTGAGGGGACTTTTTTTTATTATTACAGGTTGCTTTGTGTCGATTGTAATATATGGTTTGATCAATATAAATAGGAAGATGAAGATGAAAAAAGGATGCGGCACAGAAAACTATTCTCAATGCCAAGCAGATTAAACTTTTCAAGCTGTTCCATGACTCCAAGGAAAATGCATTTCTGAATGTATAGGCCATACTCACTCTCTCCCATGTAAGTTCTTCTGCTGCTCGATCCCATTCCAATGCATTCCAATTCATGTCATCTACAGAGAGTATCAAAATATTGTTAAAGGAAAAGAAATTGATATATTTGCTATATTCTTCAAGGAGAACACTATTCATATTTGCTCCAGGCTTGGACAGTTCTAGTGTGATGGTTGGGTATACTGTGATGTTATCTAGGACAGTGTTTTTCAACCTTTTTTGTGCAAAGGCACACTTTTTTCATGAAAAAAATCACGAGGCACACCACCATTAGAAAATGTTAAAAA